TGTAGCAAATATAGAAAATTATGCAAAAAAATGAAAAACAAGATTATGCAGAAAAATACAAAATAGAATCATGCAGAATTCAATAGAAAATTATGCAAAAGTTATGAAGAAAACACCAAAACAGAACATGCAGAAAACATAGAAATTATGCATAATGAAGTTTACAATTATACAAAAAAATGAAAAACAAAATTATGCAGAAAATGCAAAAGAATACAAAAACTTTATGTAGCAAAAACGGTGCAGAAATTATGCAGAAAACTACACAAGATGTAGAAAAATCATGCAGAGAAACTTGAAAGTAAAACAACAAAAAATAAATGCTCAATCTAGCTACTTTTCTGCTACTAATGATATTGAAATTCAAAATTCTCCAGCAACGGTACCAAAAACTTATTGTTTGCAATCTAAACACTAGCAAGTGCACTAGTATTGCAGCAAGTAATGAGTAATTTTTAAGATCAGGATATCATCTCCATAGGGAATTTATATTTCAAGTATCAATTCACAAAATTGTAACCATTTGAGCCATACGAAAATTGAATAAGCTTTGTAACATCTAACAGCAGTAAACCAAAACAATTAAGAGTAAAGGAAACTTGCAGAAAACAGATCAATGAATGCAATGTGGGATTAGAAATGGATTGAAAGGTAGTTAAGAATTTACTTCACAAGAATGTCAATATTAATTCAATTATGCTTTTGAAAATTCAAGAACTTGGTTAATTGACAATCAGTTTCGTATATCAATAGCCAAAGGTTAATCCCTTAACTCATTGACCCTAACAAGTAACTAAACCACCCTAATCCGTGAGGTGAAGTTCAATTTCATGTTGCATTAAGACTTGGAATATTAGGATTGCAGAATTAAGTGTACTTATCCCTCAGAAACTCCTAATTCTGGTTGTTCATTCAGATCAGAGAATCAAATCCAATTCCCATTGGCAATTGTTCCTTTAAGGTTAATCAAATGAATTTCCATTCAAAGATTATGTAAAAGTGCAGAATTAACAACTCAATTAATCCAAATACTCAAATTTCAGAAGCAAGAATCAAATCAATACATCAATTGGAGTTCCATAAACTCCTAACTACAAGAAAACTACTCAAACATGGGAGAAGAGAAAGAGAAAGAAGAAAAACTCCAAAAAGCCATGGTTGAAAGCTCCAATCCGATTCCTCTTTGTGGAAGCTTCAAGACTTGACCCCAATCTTCTCTCTCAATCTCTCTCAACGACAATCTAACAGAAAAACGGAAAATAAAACTGAACTCCTAAAAATCTGAGCGCATCTGGTATTTATAGAAATTTCCAGATTTGCGCGTTATCACTTTTATCAAAAATAGTAGCTACGCAGAAGGTTAGTTGGTTGCGCGTTAACACTTTTATGAGAAAAAGTGGCCACACACAACTTTGCTGATGTGAGAGCTCTCTGGAACTATCACTCTTGCTGATAAAAGTGTCACCGCAGACCTCAAGTAGTTGCGTGTGATCACTCTTATGAATAAAAGTGACTACGCGCAACTCGCCAAGTTGAAGGCTCTCTGGAACGATCACTTTCGATGACAATAGTGGTTACGCAGAGCTTTCCTGATATTTTGCCTCTCTGGAACGCTCACTTTTAATGATAAAAGTGATAACGCCTAGCATGCTGAGTCTGAGGCTTCACTGGAACTCTCACTTTTCTTGGCAAAAGTGGTAATGCCCAGGCTTCACTTCTTCTTTGAACTCTGGAGTGATCACTTTCACTGACAATAGTGATCACGCGCAGTCTGCATTTCCTTGTTCTTGTGTTTTGGAGTCCAGACTTGCTACTTTCCTCTTTCTTGTCATCAAGCCTCCATTTACATGAACATTGGTCGAATTATTCCTTCAAAAATAAGATTAAAAACTTAATTCCTAAGCAAAAATTTCACAATTTCTAAGATAACTACAAATTGAAAGAAAACTTCAATTCATTCTCTTTTTCTAAGTTTTTCTGCTTTCTTCATATATTTTTCTTATCAAATGTGTTAGAATCATGCTAAAATATCAGTAAAAATATGGATTCATCATTTAACATCCTTAACACTCCCATTTGGAAGTCGTCAGAAGGGAGTCTAACACCTAACCCCCTGAACATATACTCATATACATAAAAGGTGTCAACCCCCTCAACCTCTTCCCCTAAAAATACTAAGTCTGGGTGATCGGTCCCATCGCCCTGACAGGTGTTTATTGCTATAGGATACGGATCCAAACCCTCCCACAAGGATATGTCACAAGTATCTACAAAGGTTTGAAGACATTTATTCTTCTGGAAACGTAAAAAGTAGGCAGCCACTTCACCATGCACCCATTCATATCCAGGTATGGAACATGGGCAGAAAACAGGTCTCTCTCTTGGGGGGTCGCATTCGGCAGAGGTTCATCTGACTTAGCACCTGCCTGGGATGATTCGGCCTTGTCTTCATCCTCCCTAATATTAACCTCAGAACTATCCCTATTCAATTGTGAATAAACTTCCTCAAACCTATCATTCGTGAGTCACTCATCCTCGGCAGTAGTAGTCGGCCTCACATGATCCGACAGGAAGTCCTCCCAGACTAGTGAACTAGCCATGATGATAATAGGAAAAGAGAGGAATGAAAGAAGCAAAGCGTACCTTTCGGTTTGAAGAAATAACTATGCAAAAGCGAGAAAGGTAATGCATAAAAGGTACTCTTCGATGTAGAGCAAAAGCGTGTGAATGGAAGGATGGTCCACCACATATGTATAGAATCCAGGGCATTGGGCAAGCGAAGGGTCACACCTTCTCTGAACCGTTAAATCTTCCTCAAATCTGATGACTAGGATCACGCACCCTTTCGTTTCACAGGCTCTATGCACGAGGAAACCCTAGAGATTTAAAACCCTAATTCATTAACGCTGATATCATCATTCTTTTTCTGCTAAAACAGAATACTTGACATGAACATATCATCAGAAGCAAGCCAACTACCATGTCATCTCTTTGCCAAGAACTCCACCAATGATTCCAGCCCTCTCGTCTTACATCCTTGGGCTCGGGGGACTAGTGTACCAGATAGGACATTACTCGGTCTTATTTACAGAAAGAGGAAATTGAATACCTACTTGGCCTACGAAGGACGAGTACCTCACAAAGCATGTTAATTATAAATTAATTATAATTAATAAATTAATTATCAGGATCAGGGCTGACCCACAAGGCCCATTAGCCCATAATATCTCCTATAAAAAGAAGGTAAGAAGTATAGGTAAAAGGTGGACTTTTAATTAAACAATAGTATTCATTGCTCAGAGTCGAGACCTGACTTCAGCATCGGAGTGCCTTTTGCAGGTACTCTCTCCACATCAAGCAACGTCAGCAAGATACGGAAGGACATCACTCTATCTAGGTAGAGACTCGAAGACTGGTGTTTCCATAGCAGGAACATATAATAAAATTAATACATTATTAAATGAGTTTAAATTCTATAATTATCAATAAAAATTTATACAACTTATCCTGCATAATATAAAAATATTATTATTGTTACACAAATGATCAATCATCACCATTTCGTGCATGTAATGTTTCAATAGATTAACCTCTTCATATAACAAATGTTTAAAAAAATTATTGCAAATGAACTACTTTTGAATATCCATTTTTTTACAGTGTGAAGTACGCTACCATTTAACGTTGATGTTTCAATTGATGCTAAATATTTCACGTTGATTTTGATAGTACCATAAAACGGGTTTTAGCAGTGGTGTGTAGTGTGCTTACAGTAGTTAAAACTATTCTTATACAAACTGAATCACCACCGTTTCACATTGATGCCTCAAAAGATGCTTAACTTTTTCATACAACGAATTAAAAATTGCAAATAAACTGTTTCAGAGTATTGATTGTTTTATAATATGAAATATGTTGAGGTAAAGCGTGAAGTAAACTACCGTCTCAAGTTGATGTTTCAATTGCTAAACACTCAATCACAAAACGGGTTTTAGCAGTGGTTTAGTGTACTTTTACGAAATGTACAATTATTATATACTAACTGAGAGTCACCGGATCCACGTTTTTTGAGATGCTTCCAAGACTAGTTTTCACATTTTTAACTCACGTATGATTATGTTAAACGCAATTCCAAAAAAGCTATGAATCATAATACTATATTTTACGTTGATGTCTCAATAAATGCTAAAGTTTTTATACAAAGGCTGTTTAAAATAATCATTACAAATAAACTAATCTTGATCACTGGTTTTCTTAAAGTAAGTGGTATATTTTTTTTTTTTCATTTGGTAATTAATAATATATGGTTACACCATCAATCTAATGAGTTTAAAAAGTATAATATTAAATATAATGTAATTTTTATACTTTATAACAATATATAAAATGATTGAATTCATTATTTTAATGTGCATTGATATTATTTTAATTATTAGAAATGAGAGAGTAGCCAAACATAGCAGACACAATTAATAGAAGAAAATAATAATAATAATAATAATAAAGTCTATAACTGGTTTGGTTGTCGTTAGCCTTAAATGACAACATAGAAGGTTAATAAAATAAAATGGAAAAGCTTGTTACCTAAAGCAGGCGTTTGGCAAGTTTTCTCACATTAATCAAGAATAGCACGTGTTTTGTTTCTTTTGGTAATTATACGTTTCTTGCTAATGATAAGGCACCCATATACGAGTGATGTTGTCAATAGTGTTCAACTCAATATATATTTAAATACCCAGCTAGCTAGTTATGGTGATATGTTCATAATGATATGAAAATTTAGGACCTTAAAACTGTACAAATGTGTGGCTATTTAGGTAATCAGCCACACCCACTCCTCATCTTCCTTGGCCATACCATAAAAAGTGTCACCTCATTTTTAAGTCCTATTTGACACTCAAACATTAACATAGCCACAAATCTATTTCCAACAAGCACACACCTTGATCATTCCCAAAGTAAACCACAACCTCCCAAATCGAAACCGCAGTTCAAGCAAAAGATGCCACACAACCAAGTACTTTGTTCACTGAAAAGTAACTAATTGGTCACACAACACTTGATCTCACCGAATCAAAACCGCTTGGTAAATCAAAGCACGCCAAGAAACACACACCTCATAGAACAAACGTGATCAAGGCATCCCCAAAATCACTCTTCAGATTCACCATCATGCTCATGCATCTCCGCATATAAGTCCAACACCACAACCAAAGCTAGCAGCACTAGCTTCCTCAACCTCACCACCTCTTCTTCCAACTCCTCCAACATGGCAATATCCATTGGAAACATGCTCTTCCTCAGACTCTCCCTCTTGCAACACATCCAAATCCTTGAAATCACCATTGCAGCCATGGTCTTCATAGCCATGCACTATGTGAGCTCAAAGAGTCATTATGGCCTACCGGTTTGGCCTTTCCTTGGAATGCTACCATCCTTGCTCTTAGGACTCAAAACCAACTTGTATGAATGGCTCAGTGAGATTCTCAACCGTCAAAATGGAACCTTTATATTCAAGGGACCATGGTTCACAAGCCTCAACTGCATCATCACCTCTGACCCTCAAAAGCTTGAGCACATCCTCAAGACCAAGTTCTCTTCCTTTCCCAAAGGAAAGTTCTTTAGGGACACAGTTCGTGACCTTCTTGGAGATGGCATATTTAATGCAGATGACGAGACATGGCAGAAGCAAAGGAAGACAGCAAGCATTGAGTTTCACTCCTCAAAGTTCAGAAAACTAACAACTGAGTCACTCTTTGAGCTTGTCCAAAAGAGGCTCTTACCAACCTTAGACTCATCTGTTAAGAAATCAGCTATCATAGACCTTCAAGATATCTTGTTAAGGCTCACTTTTGACAATGTGTGCGTGATGGCCTTTGGTGTTGACCCTGGTTGTTCACAACCCCACCTGCCTGAAATTCCATTTGCAACAGCCTTTGAGCATGCAACTGAAGCCACCTTGCTCAGATTTATCACCCCAGTTTGCATTTGGAAGGCCATGAGGTTCCTCAACTTGGGGGTGGAGAAGAAGCTGAAGAAGTCAATAGAGAAAGTTGATGAGTTTGCTGAGAGTGTTATTAGGACAAGAAAGAGAGAGGTTTGTCTGGAAAGTAAGGAGGTGAAAAAGGAGCACAAGAGTGACTTGTTGACGGTGTTCATGAGGCTCAAGGATGAGAATGGACAAGCTTATTCAGAAAAGTTTCTGAGGGATATATGTGTGAATTTCATGTTAGCTGGGAGGGACACTTCTTCGGTTGCTTTGAGCTGGTTTTTCTGGTTGCTTCATCAGAATCCTGCAGTGGAAGAGAGCATTCTGGAAGAGATTTGCAGGGTGGTGAGTCAGAGGAAGGACTTCAAGATTGAAGGGTATGCAAATTCTTTGACCTTTAGACCAGAGGAGATAAAGAAGATGGACTATTTGCATGCTGCTATTTCGGAATCTCTCAGGCTGTATCCTTCTGTGCCTGTGGATCACAAGGAGGTAATTGATCAATTTACCTTTTATTTTTATGTAATCCTTTCTTTTTTATCAGCTTCATTATAATTCCATTTTGGTAATTAATTTGTACATGACTGATCACATCACAAAGTCCTAGTTGAAGATATATATCCTTTTTGCTTTTGTCTTCTATATATTAGAAATGTGTTGTCTCTCTTCCCTACAACCAATTGTCTTGATTTTTTAATCAATTTCTTCAGACTGACATTTAGCCATTTAAAACATTTAAGTATTATTTTTTGTCAACTTCTTGTTTACCTAACAAACGTAATCTTTGTCAGGCACATAATTTCTGAAGGTTTTTAAAAGGTAAGCATAGTTGAGCGAACCAATCACTATAACTTATCCATAAATTACTGTAGGATAAAGCAAAGTAGACTTCAAGTGTTAGGAAGACTGAAATGAAAACTATCTCTAAATGTAGCACAAATTTTATTTGAAAAATTGCTTCTGGCAAATATGTGGGCTCCCATATGACTAATTAGTTAAGAAGATCACACAATTCAAGGTAATATTATTAAATGCAACTTGGGATGGGAACCGAGACTGAATGCAATTGTCAACCAGTGAAACAAGTACAGACTAATAAAGTATCAGTTTTCTCGTTGAGAAATTAAAAAAGTAACAATTTTTTTATTAAAGTTATTAATATATCAAGTTTTCCACTACTTTATAATTTTTAATAAAAAATATTATTCATAATTTTTTATTGTGTGTTTTAATGTATGTATTAAAAAAATTGATAATTTGTTACAACCTTATTATTAGTTAAAGAATTGAACTCTGTCTAAGGGATTTTAAGTTGTTAACTAGAATAAATAATTTTATCTTAAATGAATTAACGAGACTAATATATTAAATTGAAGATTGTATTAATTTTTTATTTAATTTCTTATAAATAAAATTTTATTAATTTACTTAAGATGATAGATTGTTTATTTCATGTGATAACTTATATAAATCCTAAAGATTGTAGTACAGAAACTAAAAAATACAATCAATATTCTTATTTTTTAAAATTTTTATATAATTTTCTACTATTATATTTTTTACATCTCATGTATTATATTTATTTTAATTTCTCCTTCTATAATTACTTAAGTTTGACGAAATTGAAACAAGGAACTTTATTAGTATTATAAAATAACAAATAAAAAAATGAGACTTTTTAAAATGACAAATGATGTATATAACTAAAGGAAGTACAATTTTTCAGGTGGTGGAAGATGTGACTTTTCCTGATGGAACTGTGCTGAAGAAAGGAACAAAAGTGTTGTATGCAATATATGCCATGGGGAGAATGGAGAGCATATGGGGCAGGGATTGCAAGGTGTTCATGCCAGAGAGATGGCTTAGAGATGGTATATTCATGACAGAATCTGCATACAAATTTACTGCATTCAATGGAGGACCTCGCTTGTGCTTAGGCAAAGATTTTGCATACTATCAGATGAAATATGTTGCAGCCAGCATCATATTCAACTACCATGTTAAGGTGGTGGAGACCCACCCTATGGTGCCAAAACTTGCTTTGACTCTCTACATGAAGCATGGATTGAAAGTCAATCTTCACAAGCGTCATGTGGCAGAAATTCAGAAGCACTTTAAGTTTGGTTAAATATGAATTAAGTAGTAATATATGATTAATAATGGATACCGTGCTTTATTATGAATTACTATTGGTTTTTACTAGGTATATGATTTTCATATTTGTTATGTTTGAAGGTTAAAAGTCATTAAGAAACAACATGTATTTAGTCCTTGGAAGTTAAAATTTTACGCATTTATAATAGAGTTTATATATGTTGATTGTACTGTGTATATTGGATCTTTTGCCTTGTTATTATTGTTAACTTACCTCAAGTAACTGTTTAGTTTTTTTTTTCCATTTATTTATTTAAGAGTTGTCTATGAAAAAAAAGTTTTGGAAAGAAGAGAAGAATGTATATTTATATTTTAAATATATATTTTTTAAATTAATATTTACAAAATAAAAGATATAAAGTATTTTAATATAAATTTAATGTATTAATTATTTATTTATCATTGTAAATGATATATAGATCTTTTAATTTAAATTTAAAAAATACATTCTTCTTTTTTTGAAAAAAATTTCTCTCCTAAACAATCCTTTAAAATTAATTTAGAATAAAAGAAATATAATATAAAAAATTATTTCATCTCATTTTAATTCACAGAGCCACTAAAAATATGATAAATTTATCTTGTCATTTTATCATATATTTTAGTCTCTTATTCAAAATTAATCTTGTTAAAAAGGTTAGAGTTACATGTCAATAAAATAGAATAAAAATTAGTTACATATTTTAAGGATAAAATATTTTTAAAAAATCAGAGGAGTTGTCTGTAACACCCTCTTTTTATTTTTCAGTAATTTATATTTTATTTATTGTTAAGTAGTATTAGAATACATTTAAATGTGAATTTGAAGGATTTTAGAGGAACTTTAGTGTAGGAGATTTCGCTCAGCGAGGTAAATCTTGCCCAGGCGAGATTGGTCATGCAAGAATATACAATTGCAGGGCTATCCCGCTCAAGCGAGATAAGATAAATGCAGTCTAATTGTCACCTCGCTCAAGCAAGAGTGATTTCGCTCAGGCGAGCTAGGGATCTTGCTCAGACGAGATGGGTCACTCAGGCGAGGACCCATTAAAAAAATAGCATGCTTTCTAGACACCATCTTGCTCAGGTGAGATGGAGTTCGCTCAAGCGAGCATCAGAAAATAGTAGGCGAGACCGCTGTCTGCATATCTCGCTCAGGCGACAGAGCTGTCCATGAAATTTGATCCTTTTTAACAACTCTCCATAAACTCATTTTTGAGGTAAGGAAAACTCTATTTTATCATTACATTACAATATTTATTTTATGCTCATAGAGCACTATTATGTGAATATAGTATGAGAATAGATGGTTGAGATATCTTTTGTGTGAATAATAGATGAAAAGATGCTTATTTGATTGTTCAAACTATTTGATTGTTTGGATTAAGTGGTTGAAATATATGGGTATGTGTACTATATGATTATAGTACTTAATGTGGATGATGATTAAATTTGTTGAGTGATTTGTGTGATTTTATGAAAGATGTCTGAGTAAAATGATATGAAAAAATGATGTGGATATGAAAGATTTACAGTTGAAATTGTATCAATGAATGTATGAGTGGAATGGAAATAGTCTAGAAGTGCTTTATTAAGCACGATCTTATGAATGAGAAAGAGAATAACTCAGAGAATGACCTAAGAGTTGGATATGGATTTGATCTAGTGTGAATAGTTACAAAGATACAGTGGGGGTATAGAGTCCAGAGATGATGAAAATTTAGGGGAAAATCTGACTAGACTTCTGACTATGTCTTTGCTAAGGGCCCCAATTATTGTACATGTTGTATCCGTATGCATGAGCTAACCGGAAACTATTTACCTAGTTAAGTAAGACCTCGAGAAGTGTTGGAGGCATCGATATTTGTGATCACATTGCATTGGGAGTGCGTATTAGAATAAGAAAAAGGATAATAGATAATAAATTGTTAAATGTCATGTGTGATATAAATATGTTTGTAATATGAATTCATGAAATTGAATATGTTGTATCTACATTAAAATTTTGATTTTATGCTAAATGTTTGTAAAGGATAGAATAGACGCTCATCCTTATTAATAATTTCAGGAAATCAGGATGACAGAGCATCAAGGAAGGATTAGACTAGTAGATAGTTCAGTATATTTTAGGTTGAATTATGTATTTAATGAATACCAAAGAGTATGTTATTTTAAATTTGTTGTACTTGTAGAAGATGAATCTAGGGTTTTTGTTATGATAGAGATAGATTTCTCTTGTAGTATCCCTTTTGACTTTCCTAGGAGTAGAATATACCAGACTTTGTGTGTATATATGTACAGAGGTACTGTTAGAAACCCAACAACTCTCACATATCTATTTACCTGCCACGACCATGACTCTATCGGAAGACTGTCTAGATGAACCTTTGAGCGTGTCACTGGCACAGAGGTTATAGCTGATTCAGGCGATCACTACCTGGGATCAGATGAGGATTTGAACTCTGAAGATTTAGCTGAGATAGAGAGTTGGAATGTTGGAGATGAGTAGGACCGGTTTTCAGTAGTTGATTTTGAGGAAGACTGCTCTGAGATTTGTATATGTTTATGGATTGTAAATATTATAGTTATGTATATATTGTGTTAAGTCCCATTCATTTTGACAAATTTGATGCTCATGTATGTGATTTATATTCAGGTTTCCCAAAATGAAGAATACTCAATGCAATTGTGATATTTATTTATTCTTTACAGTATTTAATATTGTAGTTATATTAGTATTGGAAGTTTTAAAATTTTCATTTACATATAGAACTTAAGAAAATTTTTTAGTAATTGGCTAGAATCAATTCATTAAATTTTGTAAAAGATGTTCTATTTTAAATGATTAAGAATAATTCATACATTGTACGAATTTTGAGATAAGGATGTTACATTGTTACAAAAATTTATTTAAGAAAACTTTAAAAAAACTTCTAAAATAATATGATCTTTAAAATAAAAAATGACTTATGAAGTAGTTTATATTTATTTAATTCCTAAACAATAAGTGTTACTATTTTTATTTTTAAAGGAAGAAAAATTTATTTCTTAAAATGTTAATTGGTATCTTAAAACAAGAAAACAGTAACCTTAACTTAGTTGTGAAGATTTATTAATTATTTACCTGGATGTGGTGGGTGAGTCTACCATTGTAAATTTTTGCATATACAAGAATTTGAATCCAAGACCTTGCTTAAGCAATACCAAGCCGCTTGTCGCTGCCACCAACCTCTGTTAGTTAATAGCTTTTTATTTAAGCTAGGCTAACATAAATAAAAAGCAAATAAAAATGAATAAAAGTAAAACTAAAATAATAAGAATCCTATCTTTAGACGAACACTACTACAAAACCTGCATATATAGACAGTTTTACAGACAGATTTTTAAACAATTACAGACAGTTTTTGAAACTACAGATAGATTTATAGATGGACAAAAATTGTATGTAATATCCTCATTGATAAATAATTACAGATGGATTTCACAATCCCTTAACTTATAGACAGAAAAATTTGTTTGTAAATTAGAGACAGAAAAAACCATCTGTAATGTACAGACAAAAAAATCCGTCTGTAAGTTATAGACGAAAAAATCTGTATGTAAGTTACAGACGGAAAATGTAATCCGTCTGTGATATATTTTATCATTTTTGTTTCTTTTTGTTTATATACATAGTTATTTCTGCCTATTCCTAATTATCACAATTTATAAACATAATAAAAACTACAAAATTAAATCTAAAAATTCAAAATTGATTTATAAAATGTAAAATTTAAATGTCATTACAAATGAAGACATAAACATCCAAAAAAATAATATTAAAAATAAAATACAAGTGCCTATCACGAATAATTCGTATGATCATCATCTAAAGGAGTATTGCCATCAATAGACGAGGAGTCAGACATGACGCATGGAGCTGAAAACTGATGAAGCTAAAGCTGGTGAAGGGGGAGGAAGATGTGAGCTTCTTGCTCTTATGAGCTCAAAATACGCATGTATCTTCTATATTTGCATATGTTGTTGCTCTATCTGTTGCTAGACCTTCCTTTGCATCATCGATGCCACTTTATTCTCTATCTTCTTCTCCATTTTCCTTGCCCACTTCTTCTTCCATGCACTTTCCTTGCTTTTTCACATCTCCTCATTCTACTTCTGGAGTTCTTCATTAAGGACATGGACCATAGTACAGACCATGTCCTCCACTTTCTCAGTGCAAGAGAAGGGGCATCTCCGGTGACAAATGCAGGGGACATGGAGTCTGCAAAGCGGTCCCCCATGTCATAAATGCGACCTTTATAAAGGCCACCCATTATTTGTGACCACATAGCATCTTTCAACTGACTCTGGATCCTGAGAAGATGCCTCCTTAAGCCTTTGAACATAGTTATCCTATAGTTTAGTTCAAATAATTAGATATTAGTCTAGAAAATTATTTAATAAATCACTAATAATAACATATAGTATCAATAAGAATGACTTACATATATGGCTTGAGATCATGTATTAACTCACAGGTTTGTGTCTCCCCTGTGAGTGTGTGTCTCCTTGAACAACTCTCCATGCGTAGGTGGCCACAATAGGCCAATAAGAATATGGTTTATTAAACTGATTGTTTAGAGTGAACCCATTAGCACATAACCCTAACCTGACATTTCTAGGATCAGATGCAAACTCAGGATACACTTGATCAAAATGTTACAAAGCCTCACCATGAGATGGATGAGTCATTATCTCATCATTCCTTTTATTTTCAACATGCCATGTCATGTAAGGAGTTGAGCTCATAGATGTATACAACCTTTTTAGCCTAGAAATTAAAGGTAAATAATGCATTCTAGTTTGTGGTACATCTTTATGTTTACCACTTCTACCACCTCTTCTTGGTTTAAACCTAGGCTCTCCATAGAATTTGCAATTGGTCAAAACAACATCATCTTTGTAATACAACATGCAGCCTTTCAAACAACAATCAATTTTGACTTCTTTTAATCC